GTTTTGACCGCATACTGCATAGTATTCTATCATGTGAATGTATCATGATTTTCCAATCCATTCCATGTGTTTGGAAATTTGGGATGTGTCTATGTTCTTGTGATGGTTGTGAATATTGGTGTACAAGTCTCCATTTGTGTCTCAGTTCTCATTTTCTCAGGATATATCCCAAGCAGTGAAATAATTGGGTCATATGGGATTTCTATGTTCAGCTTTTTAAGGAAATGCCAAATTGCCTTCCAGAGTGGTTGTTTCTATTATTTTACAATCCTACCAACAATGTTTGAGAGTTCCTATCTCACCACATCCTTTCACTTTATCCAAAGGCTTTTAAGTACTTTCTACTTTGATTTTTTTCCAAAGCTCCAAACTCACTTTTTTTCTGAGTGCTTCTGAATATTTCCTTTGGGACATTATTCTCCTTTTAAAAAATTGTTTCATTATTTTTAGTCAACTTATTATTCTCAGCCTTCTCCCTTCTAGATTTCACACCCATATAGAAGAGCGTACACAATTCCGTGTATAGTAAACGTTCTCATTACTGTCATGAGTGTTTTTGAAGGTGGAGAAAATCTGAACAGGAAGGTCCAGTGCGGTGTGCAAGCTCCTTTTACCTTTTTATTTTGTACTGATTTATTTACAAAGTTTGAATACATTGAATGCATTTTTCTTCCAAAAGATCCTTCCCATTTCCTTCACCACCCCCACTCATCGAATTGCGCAACTCTATGGTTAACACCCTCCCCTCCCTCTCCATCCTCACGCCTCTGCTACAACTCACTTATTTAATAAATATTTCTTATGCTAGGTGAACCCTTTGGGTAGCACAAATGGTAGAACACATGCTTGACTGATTGAACTGTTGACACTTTGAGCCCATCCAGGGTTCCCTCAAGAGTTGTTGTTTGATGCCTGATTTGACTCTGACTCATGGTAACCCCAGATCTGAGGAGTAGAACCAATAACTAAAAACCCAATGGAGTGTAGCTCTACTCTGTAGGACAGAGTATCACTCTGAGTGAGAATTTACTTGATGGTAACTGGTTTTCTATATGCTAAGAAGTAAGCTAAACATGCACATTATATCCTCTAAGAACCAGCTCTTCTATAATATGTTGTTGTTGTTGCTATGTGCCGTTGAGTTGCTTGTGACTCATAGCAACCCTATGTACAACAGCCCTAAACCCTGCTATATCCTGTGCCAATGGCACTGCCTCTGACACACCCATCCTGATTACCCCAGTCACTGAATCAATCCACCTCATAGAGGGCCTTCCCCTCCTGTGCCTGCCCTCCACCCTCCCAAGCATGATGTCCTTCTCCAAGGATCTGTTCCTCTTTACAACATGTCCAAAGTATGTCAGATGAAGCCCCAGAATCCTTGCCTCCAAGGAGTAGCCTGGTTTAACCCTCTCCAGGATGAATCTGTTTGTTTTCTTAGCAGTCCATGGTATATTCAATACTCTTCTCCAACACCACAGCTCAAAGACATCAATTCTCCTTCTATCCTCCCTCTAGTCATTGTCTCTTGACACATAGCAAATGATTGCAAAGACCACGGCCTGTATCCGATGCACCCTAGTCTCCAGAGTGACACCATTGTTCTTCAGTACCCTGGAGAGGTCCCTAACAGCAGACTTTCCCATCACAATACCTTTTTTTGATTTCCTGGCTACTTGTGCCAAGAGTGTTGACCGTTGAGTCAAGCAGACTAAAGTTGTTAACAATCTCAGTATCTTCACTATCCATTCTGATACTGCCAATTGGTTCATATTTTTATTATATTTTATAATATAAAGTATAGTTTCCCTCTCAGTGGTCCCATCTTTATCCTTACCATATTGTCCCTTGGGAACCTCTGGATTATTCTGTTCCAGTACTTTCTCAGTTTACCCCTTCTACTTTTCCCTTGCACCATATCCTGGCCATTTCTGAATACTTCATGACTGTTTTGTTGGTATTGATTTTGGATTGATTTTCCTCTCTTCAGTCTTCTTGGTTTTCATTTCACTGCCTAGTGCAACTTCCTGTCAATCTTCTGCTCATTAAACCCCCAAGAACTCTCCATTACCTCAGCCTTGGGCTTGACCTCTAGTTCTTAGTCCAGGATGTGATGTTAGGGGCCTTGTATTGTTGCCCTTTTTCTGTCATTAACTATGTGACTTCGAGTTGTCACAACATAGGACCTTAAATTCGACCCCATGAAGGCTCCTTGAACTTAATCCCCTGCGCCCCCATACTATCTTCTACTGCATGTTGCACTCATTTCCTACACGAAATCCTATCTGCATCTTGCCATTTCCTGTTGCAGTGTCTTCGTTGGAGCTTTTCTTCCACTCTGGATGCCCTTTCTCTCTCACCCTCTCCCTTGCACACCTGAGCAAGCCCTAACTTGTTTTGGAAATATTATGAAATTATGTTATGTGGTTTTAGATTCTTGTTTTCAATCTGAATCATCTGTTTGATATCAACATAGTACAATATATATTTATGAAATGTTTTATTATTGTGAAATTTTACTTCCAACATGCTTATTTATTCCTGAGCAATTAACTTGGAATCTCATGTTTGTTTAGAGAGCACACATTACACTTTCTGGTGCTCTTTTTAAAATTTTTTAATTGAATGCCATTTATTACTGTGTGTGTTCAAGAATTCGCCAAAGATGGCTGCAATGTAGTTTTGAAAGATGTCCAAATACTTTAGGGAGGGGAGGGAGGAAAAACCTAACAGGTAACATAACAGTAATTAACTATTAAATACTAACTCCAATTGCTCTGACCAACTCCTAGTAGACCTACCATTATGTTGTTAGTGACTGCAAACTGCATGGAGATTGCCTATTTTTATCCCCCTCAGAGCTGCTGGTGGATTTGAATCCACCAACTGTTCTGAGGGAGAAAGGTGGGCAGATTCCACTGGTTAGGAGTTGAGAAAATCAATGGAAGGTTGCTATGAATCAGAACTGACTGGACAGCACTGTGTTTGAGTTTTTTGAGAAGTTACAGTATTCTGTAACCATATGCCGATTACACAGGTTCAGCGACAAACAGAACCAAGAAACCACGTAGATATTCCAAGGCTTAAGTGCAGTCTACCAGTTCCAAAGGCTGACTTTCCGATGTGTAATTGTTTTGACTTTCCAACTATTTAAATTTTATTCACAATAGTTTTTAATTTATAGTCCTAATCTATTTTTGAGTAATAGTGTAAAGCATTTCTTTTCCTATTTCTATGTCTCCCATGGTCACAGCTTCTTGCATATAAATATGAGTAACAATTGTTAACGAACATTCAATCATGAAATAGTGAACTTTGAAGGGCACACTTACTTTCTTTTAACTCAAATGCTACCAATGGGCTGTTTCTCCATCCTGTAGAACTGGAGAGCCCTTCACTGTACGTACTTCTGAACTGGTCTGATTTTAGTGTCACATCTGCTGGGTCACACTGAAGAAGTAAAATGAATAATTTGGCCAAAAATCTCATGTTAGTTGACGCAGATAAATCACTGGTGACATCTGTCCCCTGATGTCTTCTCTGCATTACTTCTGAGCTTGCTATATTATGCTGTTTCACCTTGCTGTTAGATATTTGTGCTGTAAAGTTATGGGAGTTAAAGGAGAGAAATGCATAGCATCATGCCAATTGATTTTATTACTAGAAAGTTAAGAAATGAGGGCAGGAGATGTCTAAGAAATCTATTAATTCATCCCAATAATCTTCTTTATCCATTCGAGATGTTCCTTCGTGAGACGAGTATAGATGCCAGGACCTTGAGAGTCTCCGCACTTTCCTGGACGTCCAAAGGAAGTGATGCCTCTCAAAACACCATCACATATCAAGGGGCTTCCTGAATCTCCCTGGAGGAAAACAGGAAGAGTGATTGGGATCAGGGTTGAACATGACATTTGATGAAAGGGAAGCCACTTTATATCATTTAGTGTGGAGTTAAGATCTGTTTTGACTTAAGTGAAAACGAGCACTTAAAAAGCTGAAATGTTGTGCTCGCTTCGGCAGCACATATACTAAAATTGGAACTATACAGAGAAGATTAGCATGGCCCCTGCGCAAGGATGACACGCAAATTCGTGAAACGTTCAATATTTAAAAAAAAAGGGGGGGGGGAAAGCTGAAATGTTTAGAAATATGTTATTCTTTTTAGTTGGCTCCCTTGATTTATTTATGAACAGGTGTGACTTGAAACGAAACTTGGATTCTAGATTTTGTTATCACATAGTTTTGACACTGATCACTTTACCTAATCCTCTGACTTTCAGAAAGGAGTCTCTCCTGTTGACTTTTTATTTTTTCCCCACAATGTCTTAAGGTATAAAATAGGCAAATACAAATAAGACACTAAAGCAAAGAGTGAAAATCAAGGAACCATTTTCAGGTTCCTTCAGTAGATAATTGTCCAAAATAACCTTGACCTCTCTTTTACTCATCTGTAGACAGAAGGTTTTCTCCTAAGTCTTCTCTGAAGATCTAACTTGAGATGGAAGCTCTGGAAAACCAGGGATTACACTTAAACTCTCATAGACACAACAGGAGCGAGGCTGTTAATGATGGTATGGAGTTAGCTGTAGGCTGCTAGTTTATTCTTCCAGAGTAGGATAATTATTATGTCAGTTTATATTCTCTCCCGGAATTCCAGAGTCAGCATATTTATCCGTATTTAATATGTAGAGTTTTCCTTGTGCTTTGTTGTGGGCTGTCAAGTTGGAATCTACCCATAGCTGACTCTCCAGTGAGATTTTTTTCAGAGGCAGTAAGTTACATCCTTCTCCCATTGAGCAGCTGGTAGAGTCAAAGCCTTTGGGATTAAAGTGCAGCTTCTTATCACTAGGCGACCAGACCTCTCTAGGTTTCCTTATAGCTATAGCCGCATATATAAACCAGAAAGAACAGGAATTTCAGAATACTTAAATGTGCTCAGACAAACAGTAATATCTAAACCAAGAATGTCTGAAAGGAGGCAGGAAACACAAGATGGCTTAAAATCGTGACGGGTCTGTGCCATGGATGTATCCTTTCTTTATTTCTATTTAATCTGTATGTTGAGCAAATAATTCATGAAGCTGTATTCAGCGAAGAGGAATGTGTCATCAGGATTGGAGGAAGACTCAACAACAACCTGCATTATGCAGATGACACAGCCTTGCTTGCAGAAAATGAGAGAGGTCTTGAAATGCTTGCTGCAGAAGATAAAGGACTACAGCCTTCAATATGAATTACAACTCAACACTAAGAAAACAGAGGTCCTCACCACTTGGCCAATATGCACATCATGATGGATGGAGAAAGATTGAAGTCGTCAATAATGAATACACTTGGTAGCAGCTGTCAGGAGATCAGAAGATGTATTGCATTGGCATTTCTGCTTTCAGGGAGCTCTCTAAGATATTGAAGAGCAATGATGTCAGTTTGAAGAATAAAGTGTGTCTAATGCAGGCCATGGTCTTTGAAATCACTTGCTAGGCATCTGAGAGCTGGACAACGACTAAAGAAGACAGAAGAAGAATTGATACTGTTGTGCTGTGGAGTTGGAGAAGAGTACTGAATATCCTATGGACTGTCCAAAGAACAAACAGATATGTCTTTGAAAAAGTGCAGCCAGAGTGCTCCTTGGAGGCAAAGATGATGAAGATTTGTTTCCTATACTTTCAGTATATTTCCCTAGGAAGGGGACATCATGCTTGGAAAGGGGGAGGGTCTGCGAAAGAGAGAAAGATCCTTTATGAGATGGATAGACACAGTGACTGCAATAATGGAATCATGTGTGTCAAAGATGATGAGGATGGCACAGGATAGGACAGGTTCAGGTCTGTTGATGACACCTAACAATTTATATAAAAATATAATTATGTTTGTGGATATATAAGGGAGCTCTGATGGCTGAGTGGTAAGAAACTGCACTGCAATCCCCAAGGCATGTGGTTCAAATTCACCAGCATCTCCACAGCAGAAGGATGGGAAATCTCCTCCTGTGCAATGAACTGCCTCTGAAAACTCACTGGAGGGTCAGTTCTGACTTGATGGTAATGAACAACAACATCTCTCTCGCTCTCTACACACACACACACACACACACACACACACACACGCACTAAGTCAAGCCTAGTGCCACTGATTCTGACTCAAAGTCTCCATATTGTTATTGTGTGCTAGTAAGTTGGAACTGACCCATAGCTGGCTTTCCAGTGGGTTTTACCCTAGTCCCTCTGTTATTGTTGTTATGTGCTGTCGAGTCGCTGGCGACTCATAGCGACCCTATGTACAACAGCCCTAAACTCTGCTCTGTCCTGTGCCAATCGCACTGTCTCTGACACTCCCATCCCGATTACCCCAGTCACTGAATCAATCCATCTCATAGAGGGCCTTCCCCTCCTACGTTGTCCCTCCACCATCCCAAGCATGGATGTCCTTCTCCAAGGACCGGTCTGTCCTTACAACATGTCCAAAGTATGTGAGATGGAGCCTCAGAATCCTTGCCTCCAAAAAGCAGCCCGGTTTAACCCTTTCCAGGACAAATCTGTTTGTTTTCCTAACAGTCCATAGTACTCTCGATACTCTTCTCCAGCACCACATCTCAAAGGCATCAATTCTCCTTCTATCTTCCTTGGTCACTGTCCAACTCTCTGATGCATAACAAGTGATAGCAAAGACCATGGCCTGTATCAGATGCACCTTAGTCTCCAGAGAGACACCATTGCTCTTCAGTACTTTGGAGAGGTCCCTAACAGCAGACTTTCCCATAGCAATATGTCTTTTTATTTTCTGGCTACCGGTGCCCAGAGTGTTGACTGTGGAGCCAAGCAGACTAAAGCTGTGAACAATTTCAGTCTCTTCACCATCCATCTTGATGCTGCCAATTGGCCCAGTGGTGAGAATCTTTGTCTTCTTGACATTGAGCCTCAATCCATATTGTAGGCTGCAGTCCTTGACACTCTGCAGCAAGCGCTTCAGGTCCTCCTCAGTTTCAGCAAGCAGGGTTATGTCATCTGCATAACGCAGATTGTTGATAGATCTTCCACCAATCTTGACCCCACATTTCTCCTCATAGAGCCCAGCCTCCCAGATAATCTGTTCTGCATACAGGTTGAAAAGGTATGGAGATAGGATGCATCCTTGGCATACAGTCCCTCTATAGGAGTGGGTAAATAAGCCTCATAAAGCCTCTTAGACTATACATCTTTGTAGAGGCTGACTGCCACTTCTTTCTTCCATGGAAAAGCTCATAGGTTTGAATCACTGCCTTTCAATTAGCAGTAGAGCTTGTTAACCAGTGCACCACTAGGGATTCTTGCCTCTGTAAATCGAGACTGTGGGACAGATTCTAGTATACTTCTGAGAAGGCGGCCTAGTGTTAAGAAACACTGCAATTTCAAAGGCACCTGGTTCTAATCCACCTGCTGCTCCATGGCAGAAGAACAGGCAGCCTCCTGCCCTGTGATTTATTGTCTCTGAAAACCTGCCGGAGGATCACTTATGGGTTGGTTCCCACCTATGGATGTACAACAACAGTTGGAAGACACCAGTGATCAGCTTTTTTCATTCAAAAGTTGACCTTATGCCTGTGAAGTAAATAATTGTATGTGAACTTGGGATTCTTTTCCCCCTCATTAACAAGCATATTTCCTATGCCTGTTCTAGTGCCTGTAATTCTCAGAAAGTGCCTTGTAGGTTTAATTAATCAAAAGCCAATTCCTAGGAAACTTGAGCATGACACGAATGGGAAAATAATTGATAAACTTTAATGGCAGAGGGATGGCTAGGAAAAGGGGATGCTGTTGTAGCCTTAGGATAGTGTATGGTGTTCCAGGAGCACATAGCTTCTGGGTTCCTGTATGCCCAAAGGGGCTGATAGAGGGAGGGCAAAGAAGAGAAAGTATGAGAGGTTGCTATAGGCAGATTTCCCCTTTAGATAGGATTTGCTGACCTTGATTTTGAAGGATACCAGTCTTTCATTACTTCCAAGCCATTCTTTATTGGTGAGATGCTATGTCCTTGAAGAGGTAGGAAATGAGATGCCAGTTCTCACAGTATAACACACTGTCATGTGGGTTTTTCCCTACTCTTGCCTATAAAAGCCCCTTCCCCTTCTCCTCAAAGGACTTATTTGGAGACTTGCACATTCTGTGGAGTGGGTGGCACCTGGAATTTGTTCACTGAGGCTAATCTTGACCTCAGTAACCTGTGGGGATCCTGCTCCAGATTCGTAGTTGGGGTTGGGAATAGCAAGAATATCACACACACCTTTATTAAAAAAGGAAAGAAGTTTGATGAAGTCTAGGAAGTGGGGCTGAGATGGAGAAAAGTGTATTGAGGGCCCTTGAAGGCATCCTGACTTCAGCTCTCCTGAGTGTTATATTTTTCTAAGCTACATATTTTTATGTTAACATGGAAAATGAGAAAAAGAGACATTACTTCTCAGGGGTTTTTAGTATAAACTCTAGAAGATGTAGTGAGTTAACTAACACTTTAGCAATGGATTCTTATTTTTGATGGTAAATTCACTTGATATAAGTGCATTTGTTTGAGATTTATCATTAACTTTCAGAAAAGCACTAAGACCCTGGATAAGCCAATGCTATGACAAGACAGAGCATGACCTTATGTTTTCTATATGTGCATGACTAAATAAATCAGCTCTTATTTTACTTACTTTACATGTATCTGTTCCACCTTGAAGACTTCCAGCACAGATCATGTTGAGTTTAATCACAGGATTGTTATTATAGTGATTTTCATCATTGCAGATTTTTCTTTCTAGGACAGTAATGTTGACTTCTTTCAGAATATTTGAAGGCTTACGTAAATTGCTTTGATACATCCCCCATCCTGCTACTCTACACTGTGTTCCTGGATTTACATCCTCTGCGTTGTTAGGTAGATCAAGGATCTCTACATATTTATTAAGAATTGCTTCTTTGTTCAGCTGTGGGAAGATATGCACAGAGAATAAGGACAGAGAGATAATTAAAATGCCCACACTATATTCACATTCTAGTCCAACCAGGGTTCTCCTTAGAGGGAAGGAGAGGGAAGCTTCATCTCAGTTACTTGGACATGTTGTCCAGAGGGGCTAGTCTTTGGAGAAAGACATCATGCTCAGTACGTTAGAGGGTCAGAGAAGGAGAAAGGACCTTGAAGAGATGGATTAACACAGTAACTTTAACAATGGACTTAAGCATTGCAGAGATTGTGAGGATGGCACAGAATCAGGCAAGGTTTTGATTATTGTCCATAGGGTCACTATGAGTCATAGTCCACTCAAGGCAGTTAACAGCAACAACAACAACAATCCAACTCCCAGAGACTATCTTAGCTGAGCCTCTTTATAAGGAAGTTCTCCATATATGTGGGTGGACTGTGGAAAAGCCTATGATTTCTAAGAAGAGTGCCAAAGATACAAATATACCTTTAGAAGTTTCAGATCACCGTCTTTCGTGTACCTATTGTAGTCTGGATAGTTAATCTCTTCTTTAATGGACGTTATTTGTTTTTCTGGTTCCTTGCTCTTTCTTGTGTGAGCTCCAAGGATGGCCTTGGAGTTTTTATCCCTGAAACACACACATCACCATTTAACTGCCATTGATTCAAGGGGTATAAGGGATATTTCTGTTAATGTCAAAGGGATCTTGGCTGAATGCAGAAAATACCAGATGGATGTCTATCTGTACTTTACTGCCTATACGGATCACAGCAGGTTATGGCTAACATGGAGAAGAATGAAATACCCAGAATCCTTAACTGTGCTCATGAGAAACCTATACTGAGACTAAACAGGCTTTTGTCCAAATAGAGTAAGGGAATATTTCATAGTTAAAAGCCAGAAAGATGTGCATCAACTTCCTTGGCATCAGCAGTCAAGAAATCAAAAGACATATTGAGTTGGGGAAAATCTGTGGTCAGAGACCTCTCAAAGTGTCAAGGAGCAATGGTGTCAGTCTTAAGACTAAGGTGTGCCTGATTTAGGCTGTGGTCTTTTTTTGAGCACTTGTTTGGAGGTTCTCACTGGGGAGTGTAGCTACTCATATAACCTTGACTGAAGGACGGTCTTCCTTCTATCGAGTATGATAGTCCTCTTCAGCTAAGTGCACAGCTTCAAGAGGGACCCACATGGATCAGTGAGGGAGAAAGGGGACACCCAGCTAGCCAGTCAGATCAGCCAAACCAACCCTGGTGATCCGTGGGGTGACAGATGTTGCAGCCAGATCTCCCTCACATCTGCTATGGTCTTTTTGGTTACTTGTTATCCATCTGAAAGTTGGACTATGTTTAAGGATGACAGAATAAAAAAAAAATAGATGCCTTTGAGTTATGATGCTGGAGAAAAATATTGAATATTCATGGACTGCCAAAAGAACACACAAGTCCGTCTTGGAGCAAGTACAACAAGGGTGCTCCTTTGAGGCAAGGATGGTGAAACTTTGTTTAACATACTTTTGACACGTCATTGGGAGGGACCAGTCCTTGGACAAGGACATCATATTGGGAAAGGTGGAGGGTCGGAGTAAGACAGGAAGACCCTCAGCAAGAAGGATTGACACAATGACTGTAACAGTGGACTCAAGTATATCTGAAATGGTGAGGATAGCACAGGATAGGGCAACGTTCAAATCTGCTGTTCAGAGAGGGTTGCTATGAATTGCAGTCAGCTGGATGGAAATGAATAAGAATAACAACTCTCTTAAGTGAAGGAGAAGATAATAAACATTGATTCATGATTCCATTTGCAAAGATGCTTTTAGTGAAGATTCTTCTTTACACATCATTACTGTTAGTCTACTTATAATAGATGCTCAGCATTTTTATACTCTAAAAACTGAAGATCACCATCGAGCTGCAATACTGTCCTATGAGCAGAATATTGAATGATATGAGAGACAGCAAAAGAAGATGGAAGAAATGCAGCAGAGTCCCTGTAATAAAAACCAACAATAACAACTGGTCAGCACGGAACCATTTCATAGAATAGCATAGATCAAAACCAAATGATACTGAAAGAAGATCTCTAAGTTGCACTTTTTTGCACTGGCAAAAGGTATTGACAGAATACCGATGTGATACAACAAACAGTTGCGGTGTTGAAGTTGTTCAGCAGTCTCTGTCAAGTTATTGGATGACAATTCCTTGGCCAACAGACTGGAAGAGAGAATATTTATACCAATACAAAAAAAAAAGTGAACCAACACAATTCAGAAATTATAAAACAATATCATTAATATCACATAGAAAGAAAATTTTGCTGAAGATTATGAAAAAAGAATTACCAGAACAGTACAATAAGAGGGGATTGCTAGAAAGTCAAGCTGCATTTAGAAGAGGCTGTGAAAGGAAGAGTATAATTGCTGATGCAAGATGATCTGCAGAAGATAAACAGGATATCGTAAAGAATTTTACTTGTGTTTTGTTGAATACTCAAAGGTATTTCATGGTATATTATAGTTATGTGTTATCAAGCCAACTGCGACTCATAGCGACCCTATGAACAATCACTCTGATCTTTCTCTATTCTGAGCCAATCTCACTGTCTCTAACACATCTGACCCCATTGCCATTGTCACTGAGACAATCCATCTCATCAAGGGCTCTTCTCTTGTGCTCACCTTCTACCTTTCTATGATGATGTCTTTTTCTAAGGTCTGGTCCCTCCTGACAACATGCCCAAAGTATGTGAAATAGAGTTTCAAAATTCTTGCTTCCAAGGAACATCTTGGTTTCACAATTTCCAGGACAGACCTGTTTGTTCTTTTTGCAGTCATGGTTTGTTCAATACTCTTCTCCAGCATTACAACTCAAAGACATCTATTATTTTTCTGTAGTCCTTAGTCATTATCCAGCTTTCAGATACATAACAAGTAATTGAGAAGTTTTCTCTTTTGATTTCCTTACTGCTGGCATCAAGGATATCAGTTGTGGATCCGAGCAATAGGGAATGGGCTTGGGCACGTCGGAGATGATGACGATGACAAAGACTAAGACAGGGTTTAAATCTGCTTCTCACAGAGTCACTGTGAGTTGTACTTGACTGGATGACACCTAACAACAACGACAAGTATTAAATGCACCAATATTTATATTGAGTTTTCTCTGCACGTCAGCTGGGTACAGCCTTGTGTAAAAGTTTAGAGTAGTGTTTTCAAGCAGAGTCTACTTTTGGTGATGAAATAGTATTTAAATCTGCACTGTCCAATATGGCAGCACTTATTGCACATGATCATGTTGTTGTTATACGCCGTCGAGTCTCCTGTGACACATGGCCACTAAGTACTTAAAATAAGGCTAGGGTGACTAACGAACTATGTTGCTGTTGTTCGTATTATGTGCCATTGAGCCACCTGCGACTCACAGTGACCCTTAGTATAATAGCTCTGAACTCTGCCCTGTCCTCAGCCAGTCTCACTGTCACTGACACACCTACCCCCATTACTGCAGTTACTGTGTCAATCCATCTCATCTGAAGTCTTCCTCTCCTGCGCTGCCCCTCCACCTTTCCAAACATGCTATCCTTATCCAAGGACTGGTCCCTCCTGGAAACACATCCAAAATATGTGAAACTGAGCCTCAAAATTCTTGCCCCCAAGGAGCAGCATGGTTCCACCCTCTCTAGGACAGACCTGTTTGTTCTCTCGGCAGTCACAGTATGTTCAATACTCTCTCCCAGCACCATAACCCAAAGGCATCGATTCTTCTTTTTATCATCCTTAATCATTGTCCAGCTCTTTGATGCATAGCAAGTAATTAACAAGATCATGGCATGAATCAGGTGCATTTTAGTCTCTAGAGCACAGTTAGATTAGATTAGCAGATATGGCACCAGAGGTTGAGCCTTCATATTGGGAATCACAAAGGTGGAGGGACAGTTGCAAATAGACACTAGTGATTGGAACATGGAAAGTGGAAAATATGAATGTTGGGAAATTAGAGATTGCTAAGGAAGAAATGCATAAATATTAACATAGCAGGCATTGGCAAAATGAAATGGATTGAAATGGGACATTTTGAATCAGATAATCATATGATCTACTATGCAGGAAATGAAAAGGTGAGGGAAAATGGAATTGCATTAAGAGTTAAAAAGAGCATTTCTAGATCTATCTTGAAACGCACTGATGTTAGCAACAGGATGACATCCACCCACATACAAGGAAGTTAATTCCACCATCAGTCAAGTATATGCACCAACAACTAGAGCCAAAGAGGGGGAAATAGAGGATGTCTATCAACTTTTGCATTGGAAATCAATTTAAACATGCAACCAAGATGCATTTATAATAATGGGTGACTGGAATGCAAAAGTTGGGAACAGGGAAGAAGGATCAGTAGTTGGAAAATATGGATTTGGTGACAGAAGTGAAGCTGGAGACAGAATGATAGTATTCTGTCCAATCCATGATGTATTCCTTGCAAACACCTTTTATAAGAAACACAAATGGTGACTATACACATGGATTTCACCTGAAAGTCTACCCAGGAATCTGACTGATTATATCTGTGTGAAAAATTGTTGAAACAGTTCAATACTGGCTGTGAAAACTAGGCCAGGTGCTGATTGTGGAACTGACCACCAACTACTTATATGCAAGTTTAAACTGAAGCTAAATAAAATTAAATCCACAAGAACCAAAGTTTGACCTTGAGTCTATCCCATCTGAATTTAAAAACTATCTCAGGAAAAGATTTGAGGCCTTGAACATTAATGAGCGAAAAACAATGCACTATGGGAGGATATTAAGAATGTCATCCAAGAAGAATCCAAAAGGTCATTACAAAGACAGAGGAAGAAGAAAAGACTAAGATGGATGTCAAATTGAATATTGCACTGGAGCACCGAGAAGCCAAAGCAAAGGGAAGAAATCAAGAACTTAAGGAGCTGAATAGAAGATTTAAAAGGGCAGCTCAGGAAGACAAAACAAAGCATTATTATGAAATGAGCAAAGAGTCACAAATGAACTATAGGTATAGTTTTGTTTATCTTTAGTTAGAAAACAAAGATTCTTACTACTGGGCCAATTGGCAGCATCATGGTACATGGTGAAGAGATTGAGATTGCTAACAGCTTGGGTCCACAATCAAGACTTTTGGTACCAGCAACCAGGAAATTAAAAGACAATTTGCATTGGGAAAGTGTGCTGTCAGAGATCACTCCAAAGTACTTGAAGAGCAACAATGTCAATCTGAAGACCAAGGCGTGCCTGATCCAGGCCTTAGTCTTTGCAATTACTTGCTATGCATCAGAAAGCTGGACAATGACTAGGGATGATAAAAGGAGAGTTGATGCCTTTGAGCTGTGGTGCTTCAGAAGAGTATTGAATATACCATGGACTACTAGGAGAACAAATAGGTTCATCTTAGAGAGGGTGAGACCAGGCTGCTCCTTGGAAGCAAGGATTCTGAAGCTTCGTCTGACATACTTTGGACATGTTGCAAGGAGAGACCAGTCCTTGGAGAGAGATGTTGTGCTTGTGAGTGTGGAGGGACAGCACAGGAGAGGAAGACCCTCGATGAGATGGATTGATTCAGTGACTGGGATTATGGGGGTAGGTGTGTTAGAGACAATAAGATTGACGGAGGGTAGAGCAGAGTTTAGGGCTGTTGTACATAGGGTCACTATGAGTCATAGGCGATTCGACAACACATAACAAAACAACAATTTATGTTTACATGTGGGTATTGGCTATCCTATTGAATGGCCTAGAATGAAAATAATCTTGGACCATCTGCTATGGGTGGAGGAGATACTATATTTGGAGAGGGCTGATGGGAGAGATTGATAAGAGAAAGCGAGTTTCCAAGTTGAGATTGGAAGAAATTTTAAACAAGCAACTTGACAGTTGTGCTCAGGCACTGGAGGGGCACTGAATAGACTATCATCATTTCTGTGGGTCATGCAGCATAACCAGAAGGAAAACCTCTCAACACCATTTATAAAGCCACTAGCCAAGACTTACAGAAAATGTTTTGGACGCTTTCCCTGACTGGCTGGACTATTTTATACCAAATCTGGGCTTAACTCCCTATAGCGGTAAGAAAATGTGCCCCACATGACCTAAATTGTGCTCAGTGCATAGCCTAAAGGCTGGGAGTTTAAACCCACACAGTGACACTGCAGAACAGAGTCCTAGCAATGTAATTCCAAAAACTTTATAACCAAAAGCCCCTATAGAAAAAAAATCTGCTCTTAAAACATGGGAATACCATGAGTTGGAATCAACTTGATGACAATGAACTTTTGGTTTGGTTTGGAATAGGGACAAGTACCCAACATTTAGGGTAATGGAAATCCATGTCAATCTCCTGAAGTTTTTGTGGAATTAAAATATCTGTTTACTAATATCATCAAATTTAGACTATATCTACAATTAAGAAAAGGATCCAAAACACTTACAAGTAACAGTGAGCTGCAGTCAACACCCAGTTTTCCTTAATCAAAGCCCCAGCACAGATTTCTGGCCCGTCAAGTAGGACCATGTACGGTCTTGAATGAGGAACCACCTCTTTACCTCCAATGATTTTAGCACAGAAAGCTGAAATAGAAAAAAAAAATGTCAGCCTTTACTCAAGGAGCTCTACACAACACCATGTGTCTAAGGTCCACCACAATTTTCCCAGGTGAAGAGGTAGTCTGAGTGAGAATATTCTTTTCCTCCATGTAGTCCTTAGACATCTGACTGAAAATCCCATTACTGTTGAATTTTGAATTTTTGAAAGTCTCCTCTTTTTTTGCTTTTTGCCCAGAGAAACCAATTCATTGACCATTCCAAGGATTATCAGGTAGGAAACCTCTCACATATCACCATCATGAAGCCTCTAATCAGGCAAGGAGCAAAATTTAAACCATTGGCAAATGTCATGGGAGATGCTGGTGGTGTTCGAGACCTTGAACATGCTCATCTCCTTAATTTGGGAGCTTAATGCTTTTAGAAGCTTGAGAACTTTCCTTTCCAAACTCTTGCAAGAAAAAGGTCTTGTTGTTGTATACCATTGGATAGGAACCACCCCATAGCTGGCCCTCCAGTGCATTTTTAGAGGCAGTAATTGCACGGGATGAGATTGTCCATCCTTCTCCCGCAGAACAGCTGGTGGGATCCAGCCGCATGCTTATGAGATTGTAGTGCAGATTTCTTACCACTAGGCTACCAGAGTTCCCTAGAAAAATCTTATGAACTAACTTAACCTTTTACGTGACCCACAAGTTCTTTGGTCCATGTGAAATTTCTGGTCTTTGAACTGTTCGCATTTATAAATTTGAGAGAATAATATCTGTTATACCAATGACCAAGGATCAGAAGAATCAAAGCTTTTGAGTTGTGGTGCTGGAGAAGAGTGTTGAACATACCATGGACTGCCAGAAGAACAAATAAGCCTGCACTAGAGAGGGTTAAAACAGAATGTTGCTTGGAGACAAAGATTTTGAAACTCCGTCTCACACACTTTGGGCATATTGTCCTTGGAGAAGGACGTTATGTTTAGAAGCTTAGAGGGTCAATGCAAGAGAGGAAGCCCCTGGATAAGATCGGTTGACACAGTGACTGTGGCAACGGGGGCAGGTGTGTCAGAGATGGTGAGACTAGCTTAGGAAAGGCCAGGATTCAGAGCCATTATTTATAGGGTCATAGTTAGTTACCATTACTAAACGGCACATAACAACCACCACCACTTTAATTTCCAGTCTGAACATCATGACTTAGACTAAAAGTCTTTTCTTATGAGGGAAGAGGAGAGAGATAAAATAGTAAATAGAATCTTGCCTCAGTAAAATTTCCAATGATTTGTGTATTGTTAGATGTTGTCTAATTGACAATGACTCATTGTGATCCTATGAACAATGTTTCTGAACTCTGCCTGATCCTGTGCCATCCTCATCATCTCTGATATACTTGATCCATTGCTGTAGTCACTGTGTCAGTTTACCTTGTCGAGGGCTATCCTATCCTCTTTTGCTGGCCCTTCACCTTTCCAAGATGTCCTTTTCCAAGGACTGGCCAACCCTAATGGCATGCCCAAAATACGAAACAGAGCCTCACCATCCTTATTTCCAAGGAAGCACCTTGGCTGCATCTTGTCTTGGGCCTTTTGTTAGGTGATGATAAGACCAAAACTCAATACAGACTGTATACATGCATTCTGAGAGGATCTTGTGTCTTTGTGACATGTTCTCTGTGCTTCACCCTTTTAGAACAAATGTTCCCAGATTATCCTAATGTATCTCTCTTAACCACTGGCTAAGTAAACACTGGCTAAGTGTTATGGTTCCTTGAATAAAGCACAGTGCTTGGTATCCTGTAATTAAAGCTAACAAATTATCAAATTCTCAAGAAGGCAGATGATAGAGAAGACTTTTGTGAAGATTTGATGAGGGTGAGGGTGAGCAAAAAGTAAGAGTGTGACTGATTTCTAGAAGGGATTTGGGAAGGCAAAGTTCCAGGCCCTAGAATGTCACAGAAATCAAAAGAACATCATTTACATCCCAATTTTTCTTAGGGAAGAATCACATACAGATAGATCCTAAAAGTCTATCTTTGGACCTTCTGTGCAGAAATTACAGATTCTAGAAGAATATTGGCTGTTGTTGAGTCCCATGTTGGGTGAGCACACATATCAACTTCAGACATAAGCCTCTCCTTCCTACAACCAACAATTCCTAGAGGGGTCTAGGTTAGAATTCAGAACAGTGGGAAGCTTTTTTTTTTTTTTAAGACAACAACAACAACGACAACGACAACACAAAACCCAAGCAATTCCTGTCCTCAGAAAAATAGTTAGAATTCTTGTGGGCCTGGGGCTGGCATGCCAGCATATTTACAAAATTCTCCAGATTAATTTAGTGGTTAGAGGGGTTGAGACCATTGGGCCTGCGTGTCAGTCTTTGCTTTGCATTGTGTATCTGTTCTCTTTATGAGCTCACATCGCTTTCTCTGAGAAGAGAAAACAAAGTGGAGCACGACAAACTGCTCTTGCTTCCTCTGCAGGAAAGAGAAATGATTTTTTAATTGTTTTTCATCTTAGTTTTGTGCAGAATTTAGTATATCTGTTAATCTTCATACTATGACATACTTAAAATGTGCTCAGTCTTTTGGTCTTAAGTATGTATCTTACTATCTTAAAATTTCTTCTTGAGTTATAAGATAACTCACTGAGTTTATCCAGTATTTTCTGGCAAGACAATTTGCTCTGTCAGTCTCTGCCCATTTTTCCTACTTTCTAAAGCTGACAGACCCTGGAGCAAATTCATGACTGGTTCTACGTGGCTTGTTAAGCCAGTTCAGACCAGTCCCAGAGTGATCTTCACTTCCTAGAAAGCTCTGTAAGGGTAGTTTAGAGTTACTCAGGGACTCTTACCCCTCCATGGATAATGCTGTGGATTTTTCAGTATTTCAAACCAAGGCATTTGGGGCTCACCTAAAAATCAGAACTTAGCATTTAGTACATCAAAGATGTAGCTTAATAAAGAAATACTATAGATTTCTTCAAAAGTTTTTATGGGGACTTACCCAACTATCTTAATGCATTCCCATAAAGGCTCTGTGTTGTGTTATGTACCACTGAGTTGGAATCAACACATAGCTGATCCTCCAGTGGGTTTTCAGAGGCAGTTAATCGCAAGGGAGGAACTTGCCTATCCTTCACCTGCAGAGCAGCTAGTGGCCTTGAACTACATGCCTTTGGGATTGCAGCACAGCTTCTTGCCACTAGGCCATCACAATTCCCTATAAAGACTCTAGCTTAGATTATTATAAAAATTTGAATCACTCTGGATTAATTTTTACTGCCTAGCTCTTGTTTGTCTTGTAACCTTTCTGCTTACCATAAAAAAAAAAGAGCTCAATTTCCTCATATATCACTATTTCTTTCCTAAAAGTACTATTAGTTTTCCCAAGAACTTTTTGACCATTTCTTCATGGTATTTTTTTTTAACAGTTTTCTACCTATGTATTTGTAGCAATAAACATAAATGGCTTTATGATCTCTTCTAAAGAAGTTATTAAGATGAAATGATAAAGAGGCAGGTAGAATTTTTTGTTGTTGTTCTAAAGTAAAGATGCATATTTTTGAAGGCAAAGAATGAATCTTAAATATGCTAAGGCTCAGGGGGAAAATATGTTCTGTTAGATTAAACTGGGGAGTCTGGCGGCTCTGTCCGTTGAGAGTCGTGTTACTGCCAAAGGCCACCAGGCTCCAGCAGTTTGGATTTGCCAGGGGCTCTGAGAAAGATGGACAATCTCCTGTAGTTATATACAGCCTCAGAAAATTAGTGAGGGTTCATTACAAGTCAATACCAACTTGATAGCAAGTGAGTGAGTTGTGGTTAAGTATCATCCAGTTGGAAGTGACTCAGAGCTGACCCTCCACTGGGTTTTCAGAGGACGTAAATCATATGGGAAGAGATGCCCGTCTTTCTCCTGTGGAGCAGCTGGTGGATATGAGCGAACCAAGTGCCTTCAGCTGATATTGCCAAATGGTAATTGAAATTTGCTGTGTTTTACTTAATGGCTATGACATGAATGACAAGAATCAGTCTTACCTTTATGAACGAGCAGGAGAAAAATGACAAACGAGAGAAATGATGGCAGAAACGCGCAGAAGGGCCTCATGGTGGCAGGTGTCCCCACATCCATCAACGAGAAAATCTCTTTTGTGTTCTTCACTCTTGTGAACCTGAACATTGAAAATATAAAGGTTGTAGCTTTTTCCTCCTTTGCAATTTCAAGTTAGAACAGTGAGTAATTGTTCATCACAATCACTCACTGCAAGCTTGCCTCGAGCAGGAGGCCAAGATGGAGTCTAAAAAGACTTAAAAGTCAACACAGTGATGGAGCAAGGAGACTGTGCCTCTTCACAGAGACATTGACAATTTTGTTCCTTTTTTATGGGAAACTGGTTGTTCTTCCTCCATTTAGGCTGACTTTTATGGAGGTAAAATGGACAAACGGAATTTCACTTATTTTAAATATAAATGAATGGAGTTTATTTAGTATATTTACAGACTTACATTTCCATAATTTAATTTGATAACATTTTCATCATCATGTTAAGAAGCCTTATACCCAATAGCAATTATTCCCATTATCTTTCCTTTAATGACCTTAATTCTGAGTCTAGGCAACCACTAATCTAGTTTCTGCTTATAGGTTTTAATATTCTTGACATTTAATATAACTATAATTATTTCATATAACTAGAATTACGCTAGTGTTTACTTTATGGTTGACTTTCTTAGTATAATATGATTCATCCATTTTGTAGCGTGTATAGTATTTCATTCTGTATTTCCAGACAATATTCTGTTATGTGAATATGCTAGGTTTTATATCTGTTTATCAATTGGCAGGCATTGTTGTTGTTCTTTTTGGCTGTAATGCACTGTGCTGCCACAAACATAGGTGTATGAAGTCTTGTATGAATATGTGTAAATGTCTTTTGGGTAAATGTCAGGGTGTGGAATTTCAGGATCATATGGCACTTATATTTAACATTTTGAGGAACTGCCATAAATGTGTTTTCCATAATGACTGTACCATTTTACACTGTCATCAGCAAAGTATGAGGATTCCAACTTCTCCATATTCTCACCAACACTTGTTATGCTTGGTTACAGCTTTTCCAGTGGCGGTAACATAGGAGGATGGATGATTCTTAGCTTGCTTGTTAATTCGTAGTTGAACAAGAACAATTTTCTTTCCTAAGGATGAACTTGATATATGAGTGAGCATTCTGAATCTCCAAGTTGACATTATAGTGTCTGTAGGGATTGAGGCAGGAGAGGCAAGAGGAATGGAATGTTGGAGTAGTTAACAGTAGGATGGAACTATTAGGAGCTCACCCAGGCAGCCAATGGGGAACAAGGATCAGATGAAGTGTCTGAGACCAGGCCCAAGCCAATCAAAACCAGGGACCTTGGTGCCTCATGATTCTGACATGTGCAGAAGAGGCTGACCTCACGGTGGTGTTTTCACACATAAGTGAAACCAGGGACAATGAACTGGAACCACCATATCATCCCTGGAATTGCCTACCAGATCATCCCATAGGTCCAGACTCAAGGCCCGAAGCATATCATACTGTGGAGCCAGCGGAATATAGTAAGAGATGCCAGGTGTGGTGAAGGACAGTGCAAGTGAGTAAGACCTGGATAAGGTGCAGTGACACAGTGACTGTGACAGTGGGATCAAGAGTGTTGAAGATTGTGTGATTTGGGACAGGGCAAGGTTTGAGCCTTTGTTTATAGGGTTGCTAAGTGCCATAGTAGACTTGATAGACCATAACAGCAACAACAACACACCTGGTGAGTGATCTTTTCTACTTCTACAAGTCCATCTCATACTTGATGTATCTTTCCTAATAAACTTATCCTTTCTCTCATTTCCATTCTGTCTATTCACCTTTCCTCTAAACCATAGGTGTAAGCCATGCTGAGATTATTATTTCCAAGTAGAGCATAATCAGGCTATAAAGCCAGGGGACTAGTCCTTGGGTGATCTTTTTATCTTTATAGGTCAACTGACTGGAAGAGATCCGTATTTATTCTGATTCAAAAAAGGTGACCTGACAGAGTGTGGAAATTATCAAACAATATCACTAATAACACACACTATCAAAATCCTGCTGAAGATTATCCAGAAACGACAGGAATAGTACATTAACAGAGAACTACCAGAAATACAGGCTGGGTTTAGAAGAGGTCATGGCAGTAGGGACATTATTGTCAATGTCAGATGGATCTTGACAGAAAGCAGAGTTTACCAGAAGAATGTCTATCTGTGTTTCATTGACTATTCAAAGGCATTTGACTGTGTGGATTACAACAAACTGTGGCTAACCTTGAGGAAAATGGGAATCCCAGAACACTTGATTGTGCTTATGTGAAACCTGTACTTGGACCAAGAAGCAGTTTTCAGAACAGAGTAAGGAAACACTGCATGGTTCAAAATCTAGAAAGGAGTGCATCAGAGATGCATCCTGTCACCATACCTTTTCAATTTGTATGCAGAACAGATTATTCAGGAAGCAGTGCTTTATGATGAGGAGTATGGCATCAATCTATGATATGGAGATAACACAGCCTTGCTTGCTGAAACTGAAGACCTGAAGCGTTTTGCTGCAAAAGGTCAAGGACTATAGTCTTCAATATGGATTGAAGCTCAACGTCAAGAAGACAAAGATTCTCACAACTGGGCCGATTGACATCACCATATTAGATGTAGAAGAGATTGAGATTGCTCAGATCAACAGTCAACGCTCTTAACACCAGCAGTCGTAAGTCAGAAGATGAACTGCACTGGGAAAAATCTGCAGTCATGGACCTCTCCAGAGTGCTGAAGAGCAAAGATGTCAGTCTAGAGACAAAGGTGCATCTAATCCAGGCCATGGTCTTCTCAGTTACTTGTTATGCTCCAGAGAGCTGAACAATGACTAAGATGCCAGAAGAAGAATAGATGCCTTCTAGTTGTGGTCCTGGAGAAGAGTTTTGAACATACCATGGAGTGCCAAGAAAACAAATAGGTCTGTCTTGGAGAGGGTGAAACCAAGTCTATCCTTGGAGGCTAGAATTTTGAAGTTTCACCTCACATACTTTGGGCATGTGGCCAGGAGAGATCGGTCCTTGGAGAATGACATTGTGCTTGGAAGGGTGGATGGACAACACAGGAGAGGAAGGCCCCAGATGAGATGGATTGTTACAGTGACTGGGGCAATGGGAATCTATGTGTTGGAATTAGTGAGATTAGCTCAGAACAGGGAAGGGTTCAGAGCCTGTGGTACATAGGGTTGCTATACATCGAGGGTAGTTCAACAGCACATAACAACAACAACATACTATATTGGGGAGTTTTGAAAAATTTTGTAAATTTAAACATCTTGTTTAGAACCAACAAGTCCTAGGGGGTCTTTGCATTTAAAGTTGGTTGTTATTATATTTTAGAGGAATATTCTTCTAAGTGGTACAGCACTCTTCTGTCAAATGTTGTACTGAGGTAACTTGGGGTTGCTGTGATGCTGAACTTTGTGCTATAGGGGTGTCAAGGGCCATAACGGTTACCCATGGTGGACAGTGTTTGGTGGAGCTCCCAGTTTAAGACAGGTTTGGAAGGAGGAGTGGCATCCACTCTTAAATAACATGTCTCCGGAAGCTCTATGAACTTTGATAAATGTCAGTAGTTATAGATAGGCTTCAGGCTTTTTGTTCATATGGTTGTTATGAGTTGTGCTGGACTCGAAGGCAATCAACAACAACAACAACAACTACAACATCCTTCTGTTTCCCTCTCCCCAACTCAATTGTTTGGCTGAGCAAAGGGGACTGAATCTGGGTATTCTGTACTTGTAACAGTGTCCAGTGTTCCCAATACATCTGGAAGGTCTTTTTTATAAGGTTATGTGAAATGTTTGTCCCACAAAACCACTTGGGGGAACATTGCTAAATGGCATGAGGTTGTTCAAATATTTAATCTACTTTTTTTACAAAAATATTTTATACTGGTTTATTTACAAAGTTTGTATACATTGTTTTTCACACCAGATCTTTCCCATTTTCTTCACCCCTCAATCAAATTGTGTGACCCTATAATTTATGACCCTACCCGGTGCCCCACACATCCTCAGCTCTCTGCTCCCACCCTCCCCCTACTTGGATCCTCATACTCATTCTACAATAATAGTCTTATACAGTTTTTGTCCTTATGGGACTGAGTTATTGCACTTAATGTAATGCTCTCCAGTCCCTCCCAAGTTAGGTAGTAATATACAAAATCATTGCTCCTGTGTGCTGAATAGTATTCCATCTTCTGAATGTACCATAATTTCTTAATCAATTTGTGCCTCAGTTCTCATTCTCTCAAGGTATCTTTCAAGCAGTGGAATAGCTGGGTCTTATGAAATTTCTATGTTCAGCTTTTTGAGGAAGCACCAAACTGCCTTTTAGATTATACCATTTTACAATCCTACTCTCTACATCCTCTCCAACATTTATTATTTGCTGTTCTGTTATACTTTGCCACTGTTACTGGAGTGAGATGGTATCTCATTGTGGTTTTGATTTGGATCTCTCTTCATGTGTCTGTTGGTCATCGAATGTCTTGCTCTGTGAAAAGTCTTTCCATGCCTTTTGCCCATTTTGTAATTGTGTTATCAGTCTTTTTCTTGTGGAGGCCCTGTAGGATTCTGTAAACTTTTGATGTGACCCTTGTCTGAGATGGTGTTGACAAATGTTTTCTCCCCAGTCATTAGGTTTCTTTTCATATTGTTGGAAAAAGTTTTTGATGCTCACAGGGATTTAATCTTTAGAAGGTCCCATTCATCAATTTTATCCTCTCCAGATTGTGAATTTCTGGGTTATTTAGCAGTCTCTTTATACCATAGACTAGGCTGTCTAAGCTTGATCCCAGTTTGTCTCTAATAAGCTTTATGGTTTTGGGCCTCATTCCCAGGTCTTTGATCCACTTTGTGTCGATTTTTTTGTGTATAAGGTGAGATGTGGATCCTATTTCAGCTTTCAGCAGGTAGCAGTCCAGTTTTGCCAGCACCATTTGTTGAAGAGGTTGTCATTTTCCCATTTGATAGGTTTTATTTTCTTGTCAAATATCAGTTGACCATAGAT